CTAGTATCTAGAAATGCTGCCAATAAAAATGATAATATGTGCTCAGCACAATGCCATCCTACTCTGCGGATGTGAGAAGGCAAAAGGTCATTTGAAATACTAATGGGAAAACTGATTAAAGCCAAGAATGCTGCTCATAATATAAACAGAGCTTCCTGCCAATTAGGGGGGGAAATAATCTTTTCCTTTGGTCTACAATTTCTTTAACTCTGAAGGCCTGAATGAGCTAGAGAGCATAAAATAGTTAGGAAAAAGAACAATAAATAATCATCTTTTCACTAATCCAATTTCTAGTTGTTTCATATAAATCTTGCCCTGATATTTGATTTACCAAAGCAAAATGGGAATAAACACATCTGTTAATAAGTTTATTATTATCTAAAACCCCATATTTAAACAATTACATTAAATTTTTTGGTTTCCAAAAGTACAATTACATTTTGAAACCTCTTCATATATTTCACAAGAATCTCCCCTGTTACTGTTACCTTCGAGCAGTGAGTTTTTATTTTCAATTCAAAATGAGAGTGATTTATTGAACACTTACCTGGAAAAGTCCCGTTTTATTAAAGAAAGTAAACTGTGCTCTTTTAACTAATGCAGAATCTTCTTTACTTAAATTTTCCAGTATGTTTGGAGGCAAAATTACGGAAGCCAACGGGTTCTCTTGTCCACCCTCAAATTCCATCTGTGACATACACACAAATACATTCGTCAAGTAATCACAGCCATGATAAGGTTATGGCACATGCTTGAGTGAAGGGGGAGAAGAGGTGTTGGCATTAAGGTAGCTAGGGCTGCTTGCCTCTCTTTACTTCTAAAGCAGTTGCTCTGCACTCTCGGGTCAGTCCTCTGTAGATCTGATTTCAGTTTCACACATTTGGAAATAAGAGCATGCCCTGATTTTTAACTAAGCAAAACAAGAAAATGTTACGAATACAGGTGACTTGGGTTGGATACTGGGCCAATGGACAGCAGGCAGGGCCATAACCCATGTCTCAGCGACGGAACTGCGTGCTGTCATGTTACTGGGCGGGTTCGGGCAATGGTCATAGCCATCTACAAGTCCACCAGTGGACCTCTATGAAGCACAATAGGCAGCACATCCTGGAGGTGGTGAAGGATGGCACAGGACTGGCAGAGTTTCGTATTTTGGTGCGTGGAGCTCCATGAGTGGGGGACACCACTACAGTGACTAAAAACAAATGACCAAACTCACCACGATTGGCCAGTTCTGGCTCATTACAACCTTATAGAGCAAGTGAGAACAGCCCCCTTTGGGTTTGGGGGGTTGTAAATCTTTATGGGAGCAGAAAGCCTCACAGAGCTGCTGGTTTCCAACTGCTGTGCTGGGGGGTCATCCTTACAACAACTAGTTACTGACAAGTTGTAAACACTTTCAAGAATGAGTTGATTTATTTTTCATCATATTTTTAGGTGTTCTCAACACATTTGCTGAAAGATATTTACTACTCCCATGCAAAATAAAAAAGGCGCTTAGTTTGCTGATTGTAGAGAATGAGTAACTTAGCAAGGATGAACCACCTGAAGTCCTATGAACACCTGATGTCCCCAAACCCAGCGCGCAGGGCAGAGTAGTTTCCTGTGCACACGCCGGAATGGGACTGAGGGAGAGTGGGCCTTTCATTCTTAACATGTGAAACAGGATTACCCAAAAGAGCCTCTACTGTAAAGGTGAAAAGAAGGTCTTCCTTGCTTCTGAAATCCAGAGTTTCATACTTTCATTCTTATTCAGCTCCCCAGCTAAAGAAACGTTATGATAGAAATGGACAATCTCCCAGCCAAGGAGGAGAGTCCAGTCATGTGACTTGCGCTGGTGTCTGGCACATAGGAGGAAACTATTTTCTGAAGTTCCACCGGAACTGTTCAAAGAGGATCTCCCTTAACTAAGTGAGAGCGAGCTTCCTCGTCTCACATTTCTCCACCACTGGTTCTCAACTTGTAATCCTCGGAACAGCCGGATCAACTCCTGAAGAGTACAACCTTTGGGGACCCAGACAAGGCTTCCTGAATCAGAAACTCTGGGAGTGGGGTATACATAGCAAATGGCTTTGGCAAGTCTACGAGGTGATTCTAAATCTTGGTTGGAAATGATCTCTACCCTGCCCGCTAGTCAGGTGATCTTTACTCCTGCTTTAGTACTTTGCTTTAGTTCATCATTAGTTCGAAGGTAAGCTGACCCCCTCAGCGAGGCTATAAACTTATGCTTCCTTTATGCTTTCATAGTACTTTAGGTCTACTTCAGTAATTTTTTTTCTTCACAAAAATGATAGCAATAGCCCTAAATAGGAAAAAAAAGGAAGAAGGAAAATCCTCCCAACATAACCAATTGACAACATTGTAATAAGTGGTGAAGAAATGAAAGTTGTCAATGTTTTCATTCTACTTAGATAAAAAGTCAACACTCATGAAACACGAGTCAAGAAATCAAAGGACAGATTGGGCAAATCTGCTGCAAAACACCCCTCTGACACCCTAAAATGCAAAGATACTACACCTTGCTAACTAAGGGGCTACTGGACAAAGACATGGCCCTTCCAAATGCCTCAAGCATATGCAAGAGTCAGACAATGAAAAAGGAGGTCAAAGAAAAATGGATATATTCACATCATGGCATTCTTGAAGAATATTAAATATACCATGAACTGTTAGAAGAACAAAAAATAAATCTCAGAGTCAATGCTTCTAGAATGCTCCTTAGAAATGAGAATGGGGAGACTCTCACTTACTACGACCTTGCCATTAGGAGGGAGCAATCCCTGGGAAAGGTCATCATTCTTGGTAAAATGAGTGTCAGAACGCAAAGAGAGGCTCTAGAAACAATGGTTACCCCAATGGCTCAAACCCTCACATGGTCTGTGCGGAGAGTATAAGAGAGGGTAAGGTTTGATTCTGTAGCCCTAACTTGGAGCTAACCCAAAAGAGCCTAAACAGACCAACTGCTGTCATTGATCTCAGCCAGCATTCCTATCTGTACCCCGCTGGACCAAGACCTAATTGCATAAGCAAGCAGTAGGTGAACGACCAAATTTTATTGATCTACTTATTTAACTACAGAAAGCTCATTACCTGGAAATATGATTCATTATTGCTTGGAAGGCCAATGCTAAAATTTGAAATTGCATTTGTTCCCGGGGATAGGGATGAAACTCCGAGAGCTAAATTCTGTGTTGTTATATTCACATGTGCTTCATTATTCAGGTCTATCTTGAAGGCCAATTCATCGATTGTTTTCAAGGCGCTAAGAAAATGACAAAGCAAACCACCACGGTTAAGAAAGTTAACAATGTAGGCACTGCACACACGTGCTTTGTTGTAGGGCAAAATACAAAAATAATAGCAATAATAATAACTAAGCTTTTTCATCACAACATGAATGCCTGAAAAATTACCTCAAACTCAAACAATATCAGTGAAAACAAAGAATCAGAGTGACGAATTTACCCTCAAGAGAAATATCTGCTTTTAGGAACAACCATTAAATCATCTTGGAGCAGTAGTATGCTTTTCACTGTAGTCTCTTCTTCTCTGTGTAAAAATACTTTCCCTACATCTTAACTTCAGTTGACAAAACTTAAGTATATATGGTGAGAGCATGTTTCTGACTGACAAGATACTTAGATATTCATAACTATTATTATGTAGATAGGATACTTTGGTGAGAATATTTTAACAAATATACAATTTTCATCAGGAAATTTTGTTTGAAAGGAAATAGAAAAAGCACAAAATACTTAGGGATTAAGTAAAACAACTGGCTACAAATTAATATACATATATGTACATTTTGCACGTTGCCCTAGGAATTTTCATTTCAAAAGTACAGCAATTGTATAACTCTCTCAGTTCTGTGCCTTAGCTGATGATGACAGTGGAGTTAGATTGACCAACTCATGCAAAAGGCATGTCAATTGAATGTTGTGTGAGCAAAAAGAATGATCAGAAATGAATCCTTCTGGTTTGTTTTTTTTAATCTATCAATTGAGTCTGAGGTTTATCAAAATTTCAGAATATTTGAAAAGGAAACTGATGATGCTTTTCTGGGGCAATGTTAAAAATTATGCTAAAATATGTTTAAAAACCCTCTAATGATGCTCTCTTTGATGGTAACTTGGGGAAGTACCTAGATATTTTATTTATGAGATTTGGCTACAAACAAATTCAACTATATGAGGAAGTTTATAAGAATACAATTCTCCAATAAATCTTAATCTCAAAAGAAAAAATAGTAATACTTACTCAGAAGAAGACTGAAACAAGTTACTGTCTGAACTGGTTAAGATATTAGAAAATATTGTCATTAAATCTGAGCCAAGTTCTAAATCGATGTTTTCTCTCTTATTCACAATTTTTTTCACATACTCCACAATTATGTTAATATTGCTTGAGGTTAAATTCTGCACTTCGCTAGTTGCATTTTTAATTGTATCGATCTCACCTGAAAACAAAGGAGAAGCGAGGTTACAAAGCTTTACCTGTGTTTTGAACACTTCCAGGAATCTGCCACAGAACACAACATTTCATTTCGCAGTTGAATCAGGAAAGAAGGTTTCCTGTGCACTCCCTTATCACAGTCTTCACATGGCAATACTATCCCTTTAAAGTGGCAGAGAGAGGCGAACTGCTACCAAATGCAATCCATATTGCACTTTTGCCTAGTCCTGGCAAATCAGTTGGACGAGCCACTATTAATAAGATATGGGTTTGAGGGAGATGCTATCTGCATGCCTGAATAAGGATACATTCATTATTAAAAAATAATGCAAAATTGTGAAATAAAAATTTACATATTATGCATATATTTTCTTTAGAATTTCCTATTTTAGAAAATCTTACTTCAGAATAGGTAGAACAGAAAAAAATATAATGAGGAAACAAACAGTCTTCAACCTCAAATCCGCGAAGCGCCATTTTCCTAACTTTTCCTGTGAAATCATGTCCCTGAGGAGGATAGCATGCAGGGAGAGGATGGAAATCAAGAAGCATTGAGTCATTTCATTGCGTCTTTGAGATCTGAAGGAAAAGTTCACACTTACAGTCGGAGACATCAGGAGGCCCCCAGTAGGCTACAGAAGTGTTGATAGGACTGCGGTGACTATGAAATAAGAAAGGATATTTCAAATATTTGACACAAATCACATTATAACTGGGCACAAGTAGTTGATTAGTTTTAGAATTTACTTATCTGGGAAAATTGCATTAGACAATAAAATTGTAATGTATTAAAATAAAAATCGTATTAAAAATTCTAATGAAAAAAATCAGCTATATACATCATGGAACCAAAATATTAGCATCCTACATACTGTATGCTAACCTAGGAGACAGATCACCTTATCAAGGTTCAAAAAAGACTTATCTAGTAACATGAGCCAAGTACTGCTTATGAATTTTCCAGGTATAATCTGATTTTTAATCACTATATCATATTTAGGATGCTAATGTTTTAGTTCTATGTCAATCTATATTTTACAGATGAGAAAATAGGTTCAGATATGTCAAAGTCATAACCCTGAAGAAAGATTTCCTTTGCAGATATGAAGGGGTTAAGTTAATGAAATCATACCAGAGTTGAGTGAGTCCTAATCTTAATCCATTCTGAATGGCATTTTATAAAATAGAAAGATATAAATGAAAACAGCGGCTATATGAGGATCCTTCTACAAGTCAAGGAATGCTAAAAATACCAGGACTGTGAACATGAGGTGTCGATGGGATCAGGTATCAGGTATCAAAGACCCAGAACAAAAAATCATATCAATGTGAATGGGGGTGAGGGGGTTGCAGAGGGAAGACCCAATGCCCATCTCTAGACAATTGGCCATCCCCTTACAGAAGGTTCACAAGGAAAAGATGAGCCAGTCAGGGTGCAGTATAGCACCGATGAACTTTCATACAACTTTCCTCTAATTATTTAATGCTTCCTCCCCTCCCCCCCTATTATGATCTCAGTTCTACCTTACAAATCCGAGTAGACCAGACCATGTACAAGGTAAGAGCTGGAAACACAAGGAATCCAGGACAGATAAATCCCTCAGGACCAATAATGAGAATAGCAATACCAGGAGAGTAAGGGGAAGGTGGGGGGGAGAAAGGAGGAACTGATCATAACTGATCTACATATAACCCCCTCCCTGAGGGTCCAACAACAGAAAAGTGGGTGAAGGGAGGCATTGGTCAGTGTAAAACATGAAAAAATAATAATAATTTATAAATTATCAAGGGTTCATGAGGGAAGGAGGGTGAGGGAGGGGAAAATGAGGAACTGATACCAAGGGCTCAAGTAGAAAGAAAATGTTTTGAAAATGATGATGGCAACAAATGTACAAATGTGCATGCCACAATATATGTATGTATGTACTGTGATACGAGCGGTATGAGCCCGCAGTGAAATTATTTTTAAGAGAATACCTGGACTACCAGAAACTCTGAGAGTGACGAAGTTCCTAGAAGGAGTCAACATGGCTAGAATGAAGTAGTGCGGTTTCTGGTTTCTAGAATAGTACGAAAATCATTTTGCGCTTGTAATGCCACCTACTCTGTGGTATGGCAGTCCCAGGAAATTAAGACAACATACAATCCTGAGAGGTTAGCTAATGGGGTTTTGTTGGTAGGAGTAAAGAAAATTATTACCATGTCCGGTGCGCATACGAATTCTGATTGTTAGGACAGGATATGCGAATGCTGGTGGGTGGGGTGGTGGGCCAAATGTAGTTTTTAGGATGCTCATCCTCAAGGCAATGACCTATATTCATGGAAGAAAGAACACAATAAATTACTCTATTTTTTAAAGTTAGTGGTAGCAATATAAGACCAAAATGACAATGCTACTGATTAGTTATTTTTCATGGAATAGAAAAAAAGTTTTTAGATGCTCAGAATTTATAAAATTAGAAATGAGGAAAAACAGACATATAATACATTTCAGATATGAAAATTATCCATTACAAAACCATTTTTAAACACCTATATGCAGATACAAGCATGAGACATTGTTTTTATTTTGGCATACATCATTAGTATATACGATTAATAAAGATAAGGTTTATACCACTCAAAATGAAAACCCAAATCCCCCAATCCTATGGCCATTGAGTTGCTTCCACAGCCACCTTTTAGGACAGAGTAGAACTGCCATGTAGGGTTTTCAAGGCTGTAAATCATCATAGAAGCCGACTGCCGTATCTTTCTCCAGTGGAATAGCTGCTGGATTTGAACCACTGACCTTTCAGTCATCAGTCAAGCACTTAATGACGATACTACCAATGCTCCCTAAAATGAAAACAATCCCCCAAAACTCCAAATGTAATCCAATCATTTTAAAACGAGTCTAAAACATTCTGCATTAATGATGTTTTCATTGGGTTTGTGAGCATCTTTTAGGGAAATATTTCCAGCTATTTCAAAATCCTCTCCTACATGGATATCTGGTGGTAGAATGGCAAGAGGATCCCTCTGAGCCAATCCAATGGTCATCACCATGCTCCATCCTCAGTCGCCCACATGGATTGGAAAACACTTCAGATATTCCAGGACATAAATGGTCATTTCAATTAATCCTGAAAATATAGTTATGCACAATAACAGTACCAAAAATTAAAGTCACTTACCTAGTAGCCTCACACTCACTGTATACAGTCTCAAGCCTTCATTCAGGGACGCATTATTGTTCAAGATCTTCTGTTGAATGGCTTCTCCTTCTAGGGTGACATTGTTGGTAGTGTTGTAAGCCAAAAGGGCCCAAATCATCATCCTTAAAAAAAGGGAAAAAAGGATAAAATTGTTTTGGGGGTTATTGGATAAGGTGGTGACAACTGTCACCACTGAATACAGAGACTGAAGAGACATGCCAAGGCATTGATTGATACTCTATTACTACATAAATGGTAAAGTTAAAAAATTGTCCAGAATAGACATTGCAGGGTGTTACATGTAGAATTCTTATTGTTCCAATAGGATTTTTGTTGCCTGCCAGGATATACATAATTCCAACCTCCCACCCTAGCTTCTGCTGCCACTTGACTGATTCATAACAACTGGCCAAGTGAAACAGTCCACTGTAATCCCTGTGCCTTTTTATTTATCTAGCTGAAAGGGGCATATTGTTAAACTGGCTCAGTAAATGTCTACAAATTATCATTATTTCCTACAGACTTTCTTATTTATAGATGGTCTTAAGAGTATGAGGTAGAACATGGGGTCTACCTGGATAGAAAGGGGAGCATAAATATGGGGTTAAAATCTCCAGTAAAATTATCCTACTATTATTATGATGATCTGAGGAACCTGAATTTTTATATATTAGCCTACAAATACCAAATATGCTCGTCTTCATTATGAATTCAGCTCTGGAGAACTCAGTGGAGAGTTTGTGGCTATCAATGAAACAGGGAGAGTGCTGAATTATTTGTGTGATTAAGAGAGAGAAGAAATGAAATACTGGCTATTCAATGTTAGATAAAATGAAAGAATAGCCATATTTTGTGTATTCTAATCTCATGCATCAAATGCTTTTTGGTTCTCATAATTCATCCTGAAATGTATCGCTGAAACGACCGGCTTCCTGATGTCCGTATGTAACCCATTATTTCAGGATGAGATAAACATAGATGGGATTATAATGGTGAACTCTGCTATCTTTTTTATTAATCATTTTATTGGGACTCTTACAGATATCATAACATTCCATAGTTTAATCACATCAAGCAATGTTGTACAATTGCTACCACAATCAGTTTCAAAACATTTTCTTTCTTCTTGAACTCCTTGGTAACAGCTCCTCTTTATCCCTTCCCTTTCCCACCCTGCCCGGCAGGAACCCTGGCTATTTGTACTATTATTATTTATTTATTTGCCGTATTTTACACCATCCAATATATCCATTCGCATACAATCCTGTTCCTTCTGAAATTCTTTTCTTTTTGAGGCATTGAGAATTTTAAATTATAGTTCCTGGGGCCGCCAGGACATGCCACACAGTAGGCGGCTTTAAAGAACAGAAATTGGTTTTCTTTCTCATTGTTCTAGAAGCCAAGAGTCCACACGAGTTCTCTCGGCCATATTGATTCCTTCGAAGGACTCTGTCCCTTCTTAATCTCCAGGTCACACCCCTATGCAAAAAGCATTCTTTGATGAAATTGTTGTTTGAAAATAAGTTTTGCTGATCCAGTTACTAAGCACTTACATTGGGGAGCCTGACCTTTTATTTCTGAATATTGAGAAAACAATGAGCAGAATGAATTGTGGAGACTAGTCCCTGGAGAGGCGCCGCACTCTCAGTAAAGCAGAAGGGCACCCAAAGGGGAAGGCGGTTGGAAGATGGATGGACACCGTGGCTGCCAACAACAGGCTCACACATAAGAACCATTGTCAGGACCGCTCCGGACCCGGCAGTGTTTCACTCTGTTGTACCGACTCCTACCAACAACAATGAATATCCAAACTTAGCCATTCAAGAAGAGCCATTTTTAAAATCACTGGTCTTATGCATATTTTAATTGTTTTTTCTTCTCTTATCCTGAAAATTGAAACTCTTTTCTGGTTTGCTCACTGCCAACAAGTCAATGCTGACTCACAGTGACCCTATATGGTGCTACAAAGTCCAATGCTATCTGATGCTACCATCAACTCTCTTTATTTGAATAAACTAGGCGCTGTGGCTTGGGTTTCCTGTCTGTCTGGGCTGATAGAGTGTGACAGCATTATCGGAAACTCTGGTCTGTGCTGAGCGATACAATCCCATTGAAAAGGAAACGGGTAGTAAAAGGAGGGACGTGAGAAACCAGCGAACTGTGGTGGTGAGAGAAAACTAGGAGAGAGATTAAAGAGTCATAGAGTCAAGAACAGAAAAAGATGTGTGTGTTTATAGGGGTTGGGGTTACAAAAATAAATATGAAATAGTATTGACATTTCACACACACACACACCCAAGAAGCCAAAGGTATGAACTTTCCTATTTAAGGTGCCTTAGCTTATTCTCCAGATAGTTTCCGATGAAATAATCCATTGAGTTCTACAGAGGAAGAAAATTGAGGCTCTATGAATTTAAATGCTTTGCGGGCACAGTTTCTTTGGGACTAACATCTCTTAGTGATGACTGGTTTTAATATTATCAGTCGTGGAAGAACCACAGTAAGTAAGCTCAAAGGGGCAAAGCTAACTTCATGAAAAGAGGGCACCACTACGCAGTGATACCCCAAAAACTAGGGTTGCACCAATTAGAAGACAAACGGGGTGGCAGGTGCTCAGCTAGAGTCCTGTTGAAGGGCACTTGTGATCCGCCGTAAGACCCAAGGAAAACCTTATTTGATTAGCAAAGGGAAGGAGTCTGAGGAGTCCAGTTACCATCGAGCATATACAAATGACACATTCCTCTACCCTATAGATCACAAAGGGCAAGGAACAATGTCAGAAAAGGGAACAATTTTCTCTAATCTGAGAGCTCCAGTCAGTCTATTGATTATATGCAAAAACAGCAAGCCTCAACATAACTTAAAAACTTTTGTTGTCTAATATGGAATAGAAAGAGGGAAAAAACGAAGCAGAGGGGAAAAAAACTACTTGGTTAAACTTTTATATAAAATGTTATCATCTTCTACTAGAAAGAACAGATAACCAAATAAGTTGCTAGGATCTATCATGTCCGTTCCAACTCATAGTGACCCTAGGTCCAACCGAACGGAACACCGCCGGTCCTGGGCCACCGCACAGCAGTTCTTATGCCTGAGCCCATCCCTGCAGCCACCGGCTCAAGCCGGCTCGTTGAGGGCCGTCCTCTTGATTAGCTGCCCCTCCTCATCACCAAGCACGACATCTTTTTCCCGGGCCTGCTCTCTCCCGGGAACATTTCCAAAGTTTGTGAGACGAAGTCTCGCCATCCTTGCCTCTATGAAGTGATCTGGCTGTACTTCTTCCAAGACAGAT